TGTCACATGATCCTTCTAATATGCGATTTGGTGCTCAAGAAACATTTCTTATTATTACCAATGATGAAGGAAGTCATGCTGCTTAATATTTTTGTGGAAACCCTGCGTCAAAAAACACGTAAATCTCTGTCACATTTGATCAATTTAATGCATCCTTGCTGAATAACATATTAATTTCCTTACTGACTCAATCGTATATTTAACCAAAACTGAGGTCCCGGGGAGGATGTGTGTCATAGTAATAGATGAGTGTGTTCACAGGGTCATAAACACAGGAGAGGAGTTGAAGTGAGCTAATCATATTATAACAATGAGCTAAGTATGTCTGTGGATGATCACTGTGTTTTCACAGGGCAAGTCTAGTCTCAAGGTGTTGCTAGGATACAAGTGCACTTTTTAAATGATTGGCCTCAGTGGTCAAAACCAACACATATTTTAAAGGCTAAGCACTGGTTCTCCTAGTGGTTAATGCAATACTTGGCCAAAGCAGATAACTTCAACACATGCATTAGGGGTCTGCATTTATCCTCTATCCTCAAAATATGCTGGCATCAGCCCAGAGGAGGACAAAAAGCTTTTAAATTGTCTCTCACATCAGCAAAGAGCTAATGCAACTAATGAAAAGCTGTGCCAGCAGATTTGTGTGAATGACAGTGAGACGTCTACAGACTACAGTTTCGGTTGTTTATCAACAAAGTCTGATAAACTCTGCTGATCTCTCTGAGCTAAACCTGATAAGAAGATCCAAAACTGGATTTGTAGTTTGCCAAAAACAAACAGGAACTGTTGCATTAAAAGCTGACACTCATATGTCAATAATAATTAACATCTATAGTACAAATGCAGTAACTACATTTTTCGTCAAAATTACATTAATCAGAAAATGTTCTTATGCTCCCCAATGCTGCATTTATTTAATCGAAATATAGTAAAAAATATTAATATTGCGACAATAGTATTAACATTTAATGTAACTGTTCTATTTAAAAAAGTAATTTATACCTGTTATAGTAAAGCTGAATTTTCTGTAGTCACTACTTCAGTCTTCAGTGTCACAAGATCATTCAGAAATCATTCTAATATGCTGATTTGGTGTTCAAGTAACATTTCTTATTATTATCAGTGTTGAAAACAGTTGGGCTGCTTAATATATTTGTGGAAGCCATGTTTTTCAGCATTCTTTGAAGATGAATGAAAGTTAAACAGAGCAGCATTTATATGAAATATAAATTTTTCGTAACAATGTAAAACTCTTTACAGTAACTTTTGATCAATTTAATGCATCCTTGCTGAACAACAGATACAAAAAAAAAACTTTTCAACAGTAGTGATGTTTATTAAAAAATATAAATACATATTTCCAGAAACGGACTTGTGCAACATTCAAAACAAAACAATATATATGAGACTAGAATAGAGAAGTTGTTTTCAATGCCAGTTTAAAAGATTTCACCTCAGTGCAACTCTCAAGCTGATTAATGCCTTTTAAGCTGATTAAGAAATAAGTGAAACTGGGTTTGCAGGTGGTAAAAATGCTTTGAATTTGGCAGGAGGAAAAGTGTAGGCTATGTAAGGGGATGTGGATGTTCTCACTAAAGGATTAATGGCAGATAGGTAGGGAAATGAGAGTAAGAGGGGATTTACACACTAACACACTTCTGCCTTTAACTAGTTATAGAGTTCATTGTCTGTGGAGTCACAAAGGCATGTCTTGTCAATTGCCGGAGTCTGAGTGTGATCCCAAGTTCCCTTTTTGAAGCAATTGATGTCTATGACTGCTTAGCACGACAGCATACTGGAAGCGAGTGACGTTTAGTTAAAAGGCTGTAATTGCATAGTCACGCGTTGCATGTTAACGAACCGCAGTGTCTGGACTTGTTCAATAGGGTTTGCAGCATGTGAGCTACATCAGACTAATTACGCTGAATGAAACTCTGTTAAAGGAATAGCTCACCTAAAAATAAAAATGTACTCACCCTTGGGCCATCCAAGATGTAAATGAGTTGGTTTCTTCATCCGAACAGATTTGGAGAAATTTAGCATTACATCACTTGCTCACCAATGGATCCTCTGCAGTGAATGGGTGCCGTCAGAATGAAAGTCGAAAGAAAACATAGAAATAATCCAGAAGTAAAGCACATGGCTGCATTAATTAGTCCATCAGTTCATGTCTTGTAAATGTAAAAAGCTGTGTGTTTGTAATAAATAAATCCATCAAGATGTCTTTAACTTCAACAAAGTGTTGCTTCCAGTTAAAATATGAGTCCTCTCTCTATAATATTGATTTCTACAGTGAAAAAATCGTCTCGTCTGAAATCAGGAGAGAAATATGCACAGATCAAGCACCAAAAGAAAATAGTCTAAAACAGTTCTAAACAGACATTTTAATCTGAGAGGACAACAGGGGATGGATTTTTTCAGTGTAGGAAGCATTATTATGGACTCATATTTTGGACAGAAGCAACGGTTTAAAGGCACAATATGTAAGATTGTTTTAATAAAATATCCAAAAACCACTAGAACAGTGTTATATATTTTGCTGACTTGTGTACTTACATTATCCCAAATGTTCTGAAGAATGTTTAAACCCAGAGAAATAAGCAATTTTAACTAGTGACATGGACCGTTTCCATAGTGTGATTGTGTTGCCTGCTAATGACCTCCTAACCCCTCGATTTTCCATTTCCTCGATTTGTTTTGTAGAAAACATGGAAACACCAAAGACGCTTTAATATGTTGTGCGTTTTAATAGACCAGTGATGACCGCACAGAGTAGCATTATAACAGAACTTTCAAATGTATCTAGTATGATAAAACAGCGCTGCTTTTTTCCCCCCACATACGCACGACCGGAAGGAGCGGAAGCGGTCGACTGTGGCATAATAGAAGCGCTGCTGCTTTCAAGCTGTGTGTCACGCTCGTTCAGCGGCCTAGTTTTGCTTCGACAGCTTTCAGCCTCACTCTGCTTCATTCTACTACGTTAATAAATCATTAGCTCATCCATGAACATGATTTCTGCCCGAGTTCTGTCGGATTGCATCGGCTGTTGGGATGAAGGCGACAACTCCCATGATTCCACACTCAGTCCCGGCGTCATCAAACTATGCCTTTGTCTATTTGTTTATTTTGAATACGCGCCCTCCAGCGGCGAAAATTACGTATTGTGCCTTTAAATGCCTTAATGATGGATTTGTTTCAAACATGCAGATTTTCACTTCACTGGAAATTAATTGATAGAGTCGTTTGGATTATTTGAGGATGCTTTTATTCAGCTGTTTGAACTCTCATTCTGACGGCACCCATTCACTGCAGAGGATCCACTGGTGCATTGAGCAAATGGCTTGAGGGTGTAAGTACATTTTCAGCAAATTTTCATTTTTGGGTGAACTATTCCTTTAATATCCATCTGTTTTCAACTACAATGACAATCACACCTTTGTGGTTTCAACCAGGCATACTGTATACAAAGGACTAGTTCTGCCCCTGGCGTGTGAGTGTCTTGAATCCTCAGCAAATATCACTTCCTTTAAAATGTTGCGACACAAACACACTCAGAACTTTCCAACATAACCAAAAAAAATTATTCTGCTGAGATTTTAACCAGAGGCTGGTGTGCATGCCGTGGCAATCCAGCCCGGCATCTTTGCCTTTTATTACGGGCTCTCTGCACCTAAAAAAACTGAAGCATGGTGAAATCATTCATTTTCTGGTCTGATGTCATCTCAGACTCTCCATAATTGCCGGAGTCCGGCGTCTTGTGTCTATAATTGGTAGAGACACCGCAAACTCTCTGAGAAGACACTGTAGGTGGGTACTGGTGGATTCATTATTTTGTCGTAAAACTGAAGCGGGAGGTCATCAAAAGGAAAACCATTTTTCAAGTCTCTTATTTTTTCTACTCCTTTTTTCTTTGTGGTTTGAAAAACAGGACTTTCCTGGCTAGTTTTACTTGTTGTCTGTCTGTCAGCACATTTTAAATGTATGTTGATAATTTTATATAATTTATGCAACCATAGAAGTCCAAGCCATAGAGGTTATTTAGGGTGAAGGCATTGGAGGACGACAGGAAGTGCACATTTATAAAGGTAGTGAAGAGGAAGAGGTGAATATTTGTGTATATACAAGTCCATGAAATGTTGCTGGTGTTATATTAAGGGAGCATTTTGCGCACGTTTTAATAGGAAAATGCCACAACATATTTGCTTAGTTGTTTTAGGACAGATGTCATCTGAAGTCACCACATATGGAATGAGCTTTAGTTTAGCTTCTTAGACATGCTTTGCACATTTGAATGAATAACAATAAAACCTTGAGGCACCACGTCACAATGCTCCTACAGAAAGAGTGTGATGAAGTGTAGGAGGGTTCATAAAAATTCAATATCACCCTCCCACAAGCTGCAAAATAAAGCCAAACAGTGCATTTTAAACAAATATTCAGGAATTTTTTTTTAACTCTATGTCTATGAAAGTTATCTATATTATCACAGGAAATATAAAAAGTTAATTCGTCAACAGGATATGTTAAATCTCTAACTGAATAGAAAAAGATGCAGTGAGGGTAAATAGGTAAGACTGTCAGTCCTCAACATTCAGCCAAGCATCTCGTTTTGTGTTCCACAGAAGAAACAGAGTCATGAATGACATAATTTAAATTATATATTAATTTCTGGAACTATTTCTTTAGTCATTCTTATCTGTTTTGAGTCCACTGCACTGCTGCTTTCCCACATTGGGATATTGATATTACATGACACCGTGCTGCCATCTGTTGCTCAACTCGTGAAGCACCTGTTGAGTTTATTGTGTAGTAAATTAAATGCCCCAAACGATCTTTTCACATAATTTTTCTGATGCTTTGATTTAATAACGGGGCAAGTTGCAATGTCCAGACAAATGACAGTTGTGAAATATCGAGCTACTCCATAAACATTAAATAACATTCAGAAAAAATACGTACAAGAATGCTAAAATGCTGCTTGAACTGAGGTGCCACAGCGATCTGTCACGACACATAAAAGAGCCACAAAATGGTATTTATTGTTTGAATTCCTTAAAATATGACAAAATTTGGAAGCTGAGACTTTGTTAAATACTACTGTAGAAGCAACTTGCTCTATCTTGACTGTCTGCGCATTGTCAGTTTACTCTTTGTTTTGCGAACGGTCAATTGAAAGCTTTGGGAATCTCTTCCTATAAACATACAAGAGGGTGGTCTATTTTTTATACTAACATTGATTTATGCAAAAGGGGACATAAGCAAAGACTTGTTGTTTGCGCTATGAAGTATAACCTGTTTATCTCCACGAAGGTCAACAATGGAATTTAAACCAGACTTAGACTCTAACAAGAAACTTGATGGAAAACACAGAAGAGAGAAATGTGATGCAGAGCTCAGGAATGAAAAACGAGAAAGTGAACAGAAAAAAGAGAAACACTCTATTATCAATAAAAAGGAACGAGAGAGGTGAGAAGCCCATGTGCTGTATAAAACCCCTCTGCCCCTGCAAAACCGTGCCATCAGATTGAGGAGTTTTATGTGCATTCTGTTTAGGAGAGATGCATTGAACAGTGATCATCTTCCCTCCCCAATGACGCATTCATCTCCGCCTCCCAAGTGTCCTCCGGTTGGGGAAGTGAAGAGGGAGAGGTTAGGGCTTGTGCATGCGGTTGAAGCATGTGACTGTGGTTAGGAGGAAGCACTTATACCACATACCAAAACATGCAGCCATTTCTGATGATCTAGAAAAAATATTTTCTTTAAAATGTCACTAATTAACAACTGCCTTTTTTTTTTGCACTTTTTCTGCAACTGTGTAGTTCTTCTATTGGTGGAATATAAGAATTGTTTTTTGTGTTCATGTCCAACAGCATGTTGAATTACATTAAATTGAACAGGAAGTGGAATTTACTGAATTAAAAAAAATCAACATAGTCACACAACAAGAGGAATTTCTTTGGTTATATAGCAAAACAAAAAGAATTGCATCATTAATTCTAGACTAATTATGTCTGTTTTTTTCACTGAATTGTAGCATACATGTTTACGTTAACTGATTAGACATTCACTACAGTTCAGAAGTTTGGGGTGAGTAACATTTTTTTAATATTTTAGAATAAAGTCTCTTATGCTCTTATGTCTTGACTGTCACCTGATTAATTTAAAGCATCATTTCTGAATAAAACCATTAATTACTTTAATTTAAAAAAATCTTACTGACCCCAAAGTTTGAAATGTAGTGTATTTCTCTAAACCTATAGCTAAATACTTGAAACAACAAAACAATCACAAAATGTCTGTCAATTTATTAAAAAATTACACTGGTACAGATCTTCCTTAAATTCAAATTTGAATTGCAGTTCTGCGTTGTGTTTGCTACCTCAGTTCAAATTCAGAAATTAACTTAAAAAGTTGTTCTTAGTTCTTAATGACACAGGTGCCATGATTTTTTTGCTTTTGCCATGCTTTTGCTACCGTGGTTGTCCAGCGTAAAAGTGGAAACAGTAATGTAAGATGAATTTTCACTTTTGTTTAGGAAAGATGCTCCTGTTGATTTTTTCCCTCCTGCTTCGATCAATTCCCACCCTCCTCTAAGACGCTCATCGGTAGATGTAAAGAAAGAGAGGTCAGAGCGTTTTGCATGCTTGGACATGTGTTAGTTAAGAATGTGTCATCGAAGTGCAAAAAGTTATATTTTCTAATGTAGTCTATTGTTCTATTGCATACTACCTACAGTGATAGTTGATACAGCAACCAAAACCTCAAAACAGTTTAAAAGTTTGGGGTCAGTACATTTTTTTTAACAAATGAATGATTTTTTTTAAAAGTAAGGACACATTAAATTGGTTAAAAATGGAAGTAAATATATACTCATGGTTTCTTTGTGTACATTAAAACAATACAGATTGTCACCTTTATTGACACTGAAGACTGGAGTAATGGCTGCTGGAAATTCAGTTTTGTCATCACAGGAATTTATTACATTTTAAAATATATCACAATAGAAAATAGTTATTTAAAATTACAATAATATTTCATTTTTTACTATTTTCACTGTTTTCAATCAAATAAATGCAGACTTGATAAGCATAAAAGACTTCTTTAAAAAAAAAAAAAAAAATCTTACTAACCCCAAACTTTTGAACAGTAATTTATATCAAGTTTAAATGCTAAATTTGATGTTTGCATCTCTTGTACAGAAAAGACACTCAGGCTCCTTTACAGTCTTTTCTTCAGTCTCATCCTCATAAACGTCCCTCCACGGATGAAAAGAAAGAAAGGTTGGACATTGTGCTAGAAGTGCATGCAGTGTGTTATATAAGCGATCTCCTTCATGTTGAATCAACATTCTTGTTCCTTTCATGCAGGAGAGATGCACCTCATCCTCTTTTTCCTCTTCATCATCACCTTCATCCTCCACTTCCTCCTCCTCCTATTCCTATCCCTAAGCGTTCATCAGAGGTGAAGAAAGAAAGGTCAGGACATGAGAATGTGTTCAGATTTGTATTCTTTATAATAATTATAGTAAATGTCTAACATAAGGAGTCGCTACCAAATATCTATCTTCACAGGAAAGAGCCTCCTGAAACTTTACCTCCTCCTGATCCTATGCTTTCTTCTCCTCCTCCCAAACGTCCATCACTAGAAGAGCCCAAAGAAAGGTCTGAGCACCTTTCAGTTAAAGTTCATAAAGAGGGTTTGCCAGTGAATAGAAAAGCACAGTGTAATATATCATTATTGCTTTTGTTTTGGAAAATAGCAGTCGTTGCTCTAAATAATTCTGTGTTCAATTAATAGGAAATTGTAAATTATCATTTTTAGTTCACTAGATGACCTAGTATCACACATGCGCTTCAAGTTTCTCTTTGTAATGCCACATTTGAATTGTATATTTCTTGCCTAGGGCAAAAAAAGCACTTGATCCGAATGCCCCGCTTCCTCCTTTACCTTTTCATCTACATCCTCCTCCGAAATGCGAGATGAAGAAAGAGAGGTCAGGGCTTGGTGTGTTGTCTTTTTGAGTAAACAAAGTACTGCTAATCCTTTTTAGCATCATTTCAGCGTAACACTGTGTTCTAACTATGCACAATGTTCCTTGTCTCATAAATAATCAGTGACTTTCTTTGCTTAGAAAAGAAACCGCTGAATAAAAAATTCTTATAAAAAAAAAAAAGTTCCTTTTGTAACAAGAACTGTATCTTGTTGAAGGGAAGTGAAATGTGCTTATGAACTAATTCCTGCTTCCATTTTTGATTTTGACTGTCATTTTTTATTTTATTTGTTGGGAAAATAAATATACTCCTAAATGTTTTGTACAGGTGCAAACCCGCAGTGCTGATGAACCAATGACCACCTTTGTGTTGTGCAATGAATGTGGTAACCGCTGGAAGGTCAGAAAAATATGTTTTGGCTCATGTATTTACTATAGGGGTGTAACGGTACACAAATAGGACAGTTCGGTACGTACCTCGGTTTTAACGTCACGGTTCGGTATGATTTCGGTACAGCAGGGGGAAAAACTTAACTTTTTTTTTTTTAATTTTAAATGGTTTACTGAACAAGTTGCTCTTTCTTTATATACATTCAGTTATAGTTTACATTTTCTTAGTGATAAAAATCTACCTCAGCTTATGCTTAAAACTATAGGGAGCCCTTTTATATTATAAGGTTACAATTAGGCCTAACAACTTAACCCAAACTTAAATTTAATTGCTGTTTATTTTTAAATAGATGATCAACACTCAACTTAAAAAAATAAATACAAATAAAAATGGTATGCAAACATGTAAATTGCACATAATGCAGTTTTTAAATTACATTATAAATAATACAATTTCTAAGCTATTTGTTTAAATATATTCAATTACACAATGGCTGTCATAGCATGTTTCATAACAGATTAATTTAAACATACTGTACATTAAGTAATTAAGACTAACAGGTTTAGTAAAATATGAGTATATGGTGTAATATTTCGCAAAATGCTCCTCTCTAGACTTCATTTCTCTAGTGAACTAACGAGCTGTGGACACTGATGACTTGCTGAGGTAAATTAAATGCTATGTGACATTTTATTTCCACGCTGTATTGTTGATGTCTTTCTGCGGTTGAAACACTGATTGAGCAATTACATGAGGCATGAGATGTTCAGTCATGTTTATTCACGTTAAAACTTGTAGTACAGAGGAAGGAATTATCGCGTTCACTCACGCTTCGCTCTGCACAAATCTGCGGGGCGTCACGGCTCAGACACGGGAACCGGAGCTGATCGCGGGCCGCTCTACATTTACATTTACATTTAGTCATTTAGCAGACGCTTTTATCCAAAGCGACTTACAATTGGGGGATACATAAAGCGATTCTTCTTAAAGAGGCAAACAGACACAAGACGTGGTTGTAATACCAAGTTCTTAGACATTGTTCAAATAAGTACAAGCTAGAAAGAGAAGGAATAAATAAAGAGAGATACTTGGGGTTGGTTTGAAGTCCTGTGCGTGTGGGGCTGAGAATTGGCTACTGATTGTTCTGGTTTTGTCTGTGAAGAATGTGGCAAAATCATCAGCTGTTATAGAAGTAGTAGGAGATGGTGGAGGGGGACAGAGGAGAGAATGGAAAGTTTTGAAGATATTACGTGTGTCTGGAGTGCTGTTGATCTTGTTGTGGAAGTATGAAGATTTGGCAGTATGGACTTCAGCAGAGAAAGATGAAAGCAAAGACTGATACATACTTAGGTCTGACGGATCTTTTGATTTGCACCATTTTCTCTCAGCTGCCCTGAGTTTGGTCCGATGTTCACGAAGAACATCGGATAACCAGGAGTTCGAGGGGGCAGCCCGTGCTGGCCTGGAGGAGAGAGGACAAATATCATCTAGACAAGAGGTTAAAGTAGAGCATAAAGTGTCAGTTGCTGCATTCACATCCAGAGATGAGAAATGGGTAGGTGAGGGAAGAGAGGAGGATACAACGGAGGAAAGATGGGAGGGGGAAAGGGAGCGTAGGTTTCGTCTAAAAGTAACCGGTATGGGGGTTGGTGGCACACAGGTAGCAAAATGTAGTTGAAATGTAATGAAGAAATGATCAGAGATAGTCAGTGCTTGTGTTGGGATTATACCAGCACGTTTCTGAACCGTCCCAGAAGTGGCTCTCTAAGGCATTTATACAGCGATCTGTCATGCCACATAAAAGATGGTCAAAAAGCCATTTATTATTTGAATTTCCTGAGAAGAAGAAGAAAAAAACAACTGTATTTGTGCGGTACACATGCGTACCGAACCGAAAGACCCGTACCGAAACGGTTCGGTACGAATACGTGTACCGTTACACCCCTAATTTACTATGTATTTCTAAACAAACCATTGTGCAATAGAACAATGGAAGTAACACAAGTGTCTTTTAATATGTTTTTTCCAGTTCTGCTAACCCGAAGCCAGAACCCCAAGAACAATGACCATGTAGGATCCCTCATCTTTTAATTTTTTTATTTGGAAGAGAAAGTAATATAACGTTCTATTCTACCAGCAAATGGCCCCGAATTTATAATATGCTAATTAAAGCTGCAGTCCGTAACTTTTTTTTAACCCGAAGCCAGAACCCCAAGAACAATGACCATGTAGGATCCCTCATCTTTTAATTTTTTTATTTGGAAGAGAAAGTAATATAACGTTCTATTCTACCAGCAAATGGCCCCGAATTTATAATATGCTAATTAAAGCTGCAGTCCGTAACTTTTTTTTATTTCAAAATTTACAAAATTCATATAATAAGCGAGCGTACACCATGAATCCATTTTCCAAACCTGGTCTTTGAAGGTCAGCTGGTTATCAAAAGTTACACCAAGATTTCTGACCGAAGTTGATGGGGTAATTGTAGAAGAACCTAGCTGGATGGAAAAATCATACTGTAGAGTTGGAGTGGCAGGGAAGACAAGAAGCTCAGTCTTTGCCAGGTTGAGCTGTAAGTGATATTCTTTCATCCATGCCGAGATGTCTGCCAGGCAGCCTGAGATCCGTGCAGCTACCGTTGGATCATCTGGTTGAAACGAGAGATAGAGCTGTGTGTCATCAGCATAGCAATGGTAGGAGAAGCCATGTGCTTGTATGATGGGACCCAGTGATGTTGTGTATATGGAGAAGAGGAGGGGTCCAAGAACTGATCCCTGAGGAACCCCAGTGACAAGTTGATGTGCTTTGGATACCTCCCCTCCCCAAGACACCCTGAAAGACCTACCAGTGAGATAGGATTGAAACCAGCTAAGTGGAATCCCTGTGATGCCCATTGAAGAGAGGGCAGACAGGAGGATCTGATGATTGACAGTGTCAAAAGCAGCAGAAAGATCCAGCAGAATAAGGACTGATGATTTGGAATCAGCTTTTGCAATCCGCAAGGCTTCTGTGACTGACAGTAGCGCAGTCTCAGTTGAATGGCCACTCCTGAAACCTGACTGGTTAGGATCCAGTTTGTTGTTCTGTGAAAGAAACAATGATATCTGGTTGAAAACAACTCTTTCGAGGGTTTTCGCTATGAATGGAAGGAGAGAGACAGGTCTGTAGCTATCTGTAAGTGAAGTGTTTAATGTAGGTTTTTTGAGCAGTGGGGTTATCCGAGCCTGCTTGAATGCAGTGGGGAAGGTGCCTGTGAGGAGAGATGTATTGATGATGTGTGTGAGTGTTGGTAAAAGTGAAGGAGAGATTGCTTGGAGGAGGTGTGAGGGGATTGGGTCTAGAGGGCATGTTGTAGGATGGCTGGAGAGCATAAGTTTTGATACTTCTGTCTCAGTGAGGGGACAGAAGGAGAAGATGGGAGTTTTTGCAGTGGGTGGGGTTGGTTTGAAGTCCTGTGTGTGTGGGGCTGAGAATTGGCTACTGATTGTTCTGGTTTTGTCTGTGAAGAATGTGGCAAAATCATCAGCTGTTATAGAAGTGGTGGGAGGTGGTGGAGGGGGACAGAGGAGAGAATGGAACGTTTTGAAGAGATTACGTGTGTCTGGAGCGCTGTTGATCTTGTTGTGGAAGTATGAAGATTTGGCAGTATGGACTTCAGCAGAGAAAGATGAAAGCAAAGATTGATACATACTTAGGTCTGACGGATCTTTTGATTTGCACCATTTTCTCTCAGCTGCCCTGAGTTTGGTCCGATGTTCACGAAGAACATCGGATAACCAGGAGTTCGAGGGGGCAGCCCGTGCTGGCCTGGAGGAGAGAGGACAAATATCATCTAGACAAGAGGTTAAAGTAGAGCATAAAGTGTCAGTTGCTGCATTCACATCCAGAGATGAGAAATGGGTAGGTGAGGGAAGAGAGGAGGATACAACGGAGGAAAGATGGGAGGGGGAAAGGGAGCGTAGGTTTCGTCTAAAAGTAACCGGTATGGGGGTTGGTGGCACACAGGTAGCAAAATGTAGTTGAAATGTAATGAAGAAATGATCAGAGATAGTCAGTGCTTGTGTTGGGATTATACCAGCACGTTTCTGAACCGTCCCAGAAGTGGCTCTCTAAGGCATTTATACAGCGATCTGTCATGCCACATAAAAGATGGTCAAAAAGCCATTTATTATTTGAATTTCCTGAGAAGAAGAAGAAAAAAACAACTGTATTTGTGCGGTACACATGCGTACCGAACCGAAAGACCCGTACCGAAACGGTTCGGTACGAATACGTGTACCGTTACACCCCTAATTTACTATGTATTTCTAAACAAACCATTGTGCAATAGAACAATGGAAGTAACACAAGTGTCTTTTAATATGTTTTTTCCAGTTCTGCTAACCCGAAGCCAGAACCCCAAGAACAATGACCATGTAGGATCCCTCATCTTTTAATTTTTTTATTTGGAAGAGAAAGTAATATAACGTTCTATTCTACCAGCAAATGGCCCCGAATTTATAATATGCTAATTAAAGCTGCAGTCCGTAACTTTTTTTTGATTTCAAAATTTACAAAATTCATATAATAAGCGAGCGTACACCATGAATCCATTTTCCAAACCATGTTTTTGGCTTATCCTGAATCACTACGGTATACCTATAATAAGTGTTTATATTCTGACTATTTTAGACTGGTTCGGGTAGGTACCGCTGCGGAGTAGCCCAGTACCTGCGTGATTCATCATAGACATAAACAGAGAGAAGTAGCTACGGAGTTCTGTTTATTGA